TAATAGGGCGTTCAAACGTAAAATTATAAAAGACTTACTAAAGAAATTAAGATTAAGAGTATGTAATAACATAAACGAATTGAAGAAGAGTCTCAAACTCTTAGTTTCCATTGCCAATTCAAAGTGATTGTTAAAGAAGATTTGTATTTTTCTTTTTGTGGAGCGATAAGTTGCAATTTGAGGCTTTCAATTCTAAGGAAGGAATTTACAAAAAAAAAAAAAAATTAATTAAATTGACTATTTTGTGTTAGTACTAAACTATAATTGAATATTAGAAAAAAAAAAGAAGATTAAAGTAAAAATAAAGTAATTTGCTATTAAATAAAAATTACATTGTATTCAAAGCTTTGGGTGGTTTCGAACCCGCGTCACCACAGCATAGGAGAGAATTTAAGTTCCCAAAGCAACCACTTCTTCCATCCATCACCTTGTGTTTGGGGGCACCATTAAAATATTTAAGGGGTCCTGTATATAATTACACATATATATAATATGTATATACAGAATTTTTGCCGAGGTTAACGGGGTCACGTGACCCCTCAACTACCAACCTACGTCCGCCCCTGCCTGCATTGTGCCTCCATTTATTTTATCTTTATGTGCACCATTCTTTCCGGTAAGAGATGGAATAGTTGTCTTCGATTTTAGCTATCCTTTGCCTTCGGCTTCACGTGTCACTCCCTTATGCAATCACTTAACATGACATATTTTACCCTATATCAAATTCACTACTAATATAATACTAATATTATACGATTTAGGTTAAGCCTACATCATTTTTGTTGCGGAATATTGTGGGTTAACTAGCACACAATCTCACACAAAGCAAATAGAGAAGAAAAATCAACACAAGGATTTAACGAGGTTCGACTAAATCTAATCCTCGGGACAAAAGAAGAGAGAGTTTTCCACTATGAATGAGAAGAAAAGCACAATACTGATAAGTACATTTTACCTGATTTAAATATATCACTTTCCTCGCAAAAGTATAAAAAATATCATGTTTCTTTCACAAATTTAATTTGATTGCGCAGGAAATGCTACAAGAAGAATTAGTGCACAAGCAATAAAACTTTAAGAAGAAAAAAAAAAGGGAAACAAGCTATGACAAAATACGGACGGCATAAAATCCATCTACCACAACAAAGTGGCCGTAACCAGATTCAAAAAAATAAAAGAATCTTTCATAACCAAAACAAGTGGTTATAACCGAACCAACTTGTTTTGGTTTGATTATAAAAGCATACGATGAAGAAGGAGAGGGGGGAGCCCAGCAGACAACAAAAATCCATTTCAGTCTTTCCTTTGCATTTCAGTCAGTTGTTCAGTTCTTTGAATTTTCATCCAGTCATTACAGTGGCTTTTATTTCTAGTTCCTAATAAATCTTAGCTTTAAAAATTACTCTATATCCTGCTTTTAATTAAATAGGGGGAATATTCTTTCTGAATATTTCTTTCTATTTTCTTATCTAATGGACAAGAATATTTTCATTAGCAGTATTAGCTTTAGTATGGAGTAACTTTTCTTGTGTTGGGAGAAAGACGGATCTTAATATTTCTATATAATAGTTGATATTATTCCTCAAATTCACATGCTTGAGCTAGAATTTATTTAACTTTTATCTGCTTTTACAGTTAGAAGTTATTTAATTTATTAACATCTATCCATCCTGTATTACATATTAACTATTTATTAATTCTGTAATCGAGAGAGGCGGAATAAAATAATATAGTTAAGTGTAGTATTGATAAATATTAATATTTATTAAGTAACATCTATCTCTTTTATGTTATAATTAATTTTATACTTATTTGTAATCGAGAGAGGCGAATAGTGTAATAGTCAGTTATAACAAGTAGGGCAACCGAAAGGGACTTACTAACAAGAGCGTGTTTTAGTTCAATCATATATTTCTGGTTCTTTAATATTACTAGTTTGAAGATTAATTTGTATAACCGAAAGGAGTGCGATTAATTATCAACTTAAGTAATAATATATATTTGTAATCGTGAGAGACATTTATACATTTTTGAGAAATAGAAATTGAAGAATAATAATTCTACTATATAGAAATATTAAGTGAAGTCAAGATCCCAACACCTTTTTATTATATTTGTCAAAAACAAAATATTTTCTATTGCTTTATTCGTGTATTTTTAGTTAGATAATTCACAACTCAACTCTTTCGAATTTTCTTAAATAGTAATTAAAACAAGAAATGTCTGTAGAATAGATAAATCAATCTCTGTGGGTTCGACATCTTTCTCTACTACAATTTGACAGAGTACGAGTTTAAATAATATACGCCAGACACTCGTCAAATTTTTGGCGCTGTTGCCGGGGATTGGCAAAATCTACTACAAATTAATTGTTTTACTACTAATTTGAGATTTTTGTTTTTAATTATTTTGACTTTTATGCAAAAATTTCAGGAAGTGTATGACCCGTTCCTCCTCGAGAGAACTAGTTGAATACGATCCTGAAATTGAAAAATCCTTGCGGTTGTTGCGAAAAGAACAGGTTTCACAATCTCAAATTTCTTCACAAGATAAAATGGAGAACGAAGAACTTAACAACAACAACCAACTCCCGCCACATCAAGTAGAAGAACATGAAGTGGCACCACGACGTGATAGAATACTAAGAGATTATATAAGGCCAGATCATTTTGAAGGAGAATCAAGTGTAAGGAGACCACTAATTGCAGCAAATAACTTTGAAATTCGCACAAGCTTGATTCAAACTATTCATCAGTCGTGCCAATTTACTGGTGATGCGAGTGAAGATCCTCACACCCATCTAATTGATTTTCTTGAATTAGTTGAAACTTGCAGGTATAATGGAGTCACAACAGACGCTATCAGGTTGCGGCTTTTTCCCTTTTCTTTAAAAAATGAAGCCAAAATATGGTTGCGAAGTCTGCCAAGAGGTTCAATCACTACATGAGACCAAATGACTCAGAAACTTTTTAATAAATATTTTTCACCTGCAAAAACATTTAAAAAGAAGCAAGAAATCAATAATTCTGTGCAAACAGATACTGAATCTGTATACCAAGCATGGGAACGATTAAAATCAATGCTAAGAAAATGCCCACACCATGGTATCCAAGATCCTGATATTTTATATATTTTTTATCATGGTCTTAAACCCTCTGCTAGAAATGTTATTGATGCAGAATCAGGAGGATCCATAATGAGCAAAACTACTGCAGAAGCCATGCAATTGCTCAATGAAATTTCAGAAAATGTTGTTCAATGGTCCTCTGATAGAATGATTGTTAAGAAAGCAACAAGAGTCAATCAGGTTGAAGCTTGGAATTCATTAGCGCAACAAATTGCAACTCTAACACAAGAGGCATTTCAGGTAAATACTCAATCATCATCTCAACATGAGAATTGTGACGTTTGTGGAGGCAATCATCCCAATCATGAGTGTCAAGCTTCAACGCAAAATGAAGGACAAGTAAATAGTATTGGATATAGAAACAGTTATCCATTCGGTAGTCCAATGGCACAAAAACATCCTAAATTCCAAATGGTGCTGAAAATCCTCAAAGATTTTTCAATCAAAATCAGCAGGTACAGGGACCACCTGGTTTTCAAAATCAAAACAGAGGGCAACAAGATTTTCAGAAATATCAACAACCACCCCAAAAAGCTCATCAGCAAAGCCTCGAAGACATGATGTACAAATTCATTAAGGCTACTGATGAGAAGGTTGAAAGTCAAAGTTCAGCCATCAATAATTTAGAAATTCAGATGAGCCAATTAGCAACCCTCATGTCTGAACAAATAAAAAGTGCTCTACCAAGCAACACCGAAAAAAATCCAAAGGAACACCTCAAAGCCATCTCTCTACGGTCAGGTAAAACTCTTGATGATCCATATGCAGATAGACAAGGAAAACCACACGAAGTGGAACAGGTAAATGAAGGTGAGAATAAAAGAGACTCTGAACTTCTAGAAGAACAAAAAGAAAAAGAAAAAAAGGTACAAGAAAATGAAGTGAAGACAAATCCTCAGTCTGTACCCCTCCCGTTTCCCCAAAAAATGAAAAGAAAAAATCTTGACAAACAATTTTCAAAGTTTCTAGATATTTTAAAGCAACTTTATATTAACATACCTTTCACAGAAGCTTTGACACAAATGCCATCATATGCTAAATTTCTCAAAGAAATTTTGTCAAGTAAAAGAAAATTGGAAGAAGTTTCAGTTGTTAAGCTTACAGAGAAATGTAGTGCTATACTTCAAAATAAACTTCCACAGAAGCTTGGCGATCCAGAGAGTTTTACAATTTCTTGTACTGTGAGAGGTGCTCACTTTGAAAAAGCATTATGTGATTCGGGTGCTTCAATAAAACTAATGCCTTTCTCAATTTTCAGAAAATTAGAACTTGGTGAAATGAAAGATACTTGTGTGTCTCTTCAGTTAGCTGATCAAAGTACTAAAAGGCCCAAAGGAATAATTGAAAATGTTCTCGTTAGAGTAGATAAATTTGTATTCCCAGTAGATTTTATTGTACTTGAAATGGAAGAAAATACTGAGGTACCATTAATTTTAGGTAGACCATTTCTCGCAACAGGAAGAGCGATCATTGATGTTCATCAAGGACAATTAATATTGCGAGTTGATGAGGAGAGACTAATTTTTGATATGCAGAAAATGATAAAATTTCCTGAGAATGAGTCGTCATCATCTTGTTTTCAAATTGACTTACTAGATGACCTTGTAGATGAATTCAAGGATAATCAATTAATTACTGATTCATTGGAAAGATGTTTGGTCAGGTCAGGGACCACAAGTGATGAAAATCCCACAATCAGAGAAGAAGCTGAAACACTGGAAAAAGATTCAGAAAATGAGAAAATCTCACAAGAAGAAGTTCAATCAAAAATTGAACTCAAAAACTTCCTTCTTATTTAAAATATGTTTTTCTTGAACCTGAATTATTTTCAGTAATTATTTCATCTTCTTTGACTCCAGAGCAGGAATACAAACTGATAGAAGTCTTGAGGATGCATAAAAGAGCTTTAGGGTGGACTATAGCTGACAATAAAGGAATCAATCCAGCTATTTGTAAGCATAGGATCCTCATGGAAGAAAATTACAAACCTATAGTCCAACCCCAAAGGAGACTGAATCCAGCAATGCAAGAAGTTGTCAAGAAAGAAGTAGTGAAACTTCTAGCGGCAGGTATCATTTATCCAATATCTGATAGCCCTTGGGTAAGTCCTGTACAGGTAGTACCAAAGAAAGGAGGTATGACTGTAATAAAAAATAAAAATAATGAACTCATACCTACTAGAACATTCACAGGATGGAGAGTCTATATAGATTACAGACGACTTAATGATGCCACGAGGAAAGATCATTTTCCTTTGACTTTTATTGACCAAATGCTTGAAAGAATTGCAGGCCATAAATTTTATTGTTTCCTTGACGGATATTCTGGGTATAATTAGATACCGATTGCTTCAGAAGATCAGGAGAAAACCACATTCACATGCCCCCAAGGTACGTATGCTTACAGAAGAATGCCATTTGGACTATGTAACGCTCCTGCTACATTTCAGCGTTGCATGTCGGCAATTTTCTCAGATATGACTGAAAAGTTTCTTGAAATTTTCATGGATGATTTCACACTTTTTGGTAAGACATTTGAAGATTGTCTCTATCATTTAACTTTGTTGCTTAAAAGATGTGAAGAGACAAATTTAGTTCTTAACTGGGAAAAGTGTCACTTTATGGTAATAGATGGAATTGTTTTAAGACATAAAATCACTGCTAAATGAATAGAAGTTGATAAAGCTAAAATTGATCTTATAGCAGGATTATCCCCTCCCACCACTGTTAAAGGTATTAGAAGTTTCTTAGGGCATGCAGGTTTTTATAGAAGGTTTATAAAAGACTTTTCAAAAATTTCAAAACCTCTGACTAACCTATTGATGAAAGATGTGAAATTTGAATTTTCAGATGATCGCAGAAAAGCATTTGAGTTTCTCAAAGAACAATTGACTAATGCTCCAATTGTTGTCTCTCCTGACTGGAGCCAGCCATTTGAAATAATGTGTGATGCAAGTGATATAGCAGTAGGAGCGATATTGGGGCAAAATAAAAAGATCTTTAGACCCATATATTATGCCAGCAGAACCCTCAATGAAGCTCAAATGAGTTATGCAACAACCGAGAAAGAGTTATTGGCAGTAGTATTTGCACTTGACAAATTTCGTTCTTATTTGATAGGAACAAAGGTTACAGCATTCACTGATCATGTAGCCTTAAAATATATATTAACAAAGAAAGATGCTAGACCTAGATTGCTAAGATGGATACTCCTTTTGCAAGAATTTGATCTCGAAATAAAAGATAGAAAAAGTTCAGAAAATCAGGTAGCTGATCATTTGTCACGTCTAGAGAATCCTCCTACTGAAATACTAGATATCCAAGAGGAATTTCCTGATGAGCATATCTTTTCTGTCGCAACAGTTGTAAATAGACCTCATTGGTTTGCTGATATTGCCAATTATTTAGTGGGAGGGTGGATTCCAAAAGATTTTTCTTACGATCAAAGAAAAGAGTTAAAAAAGAGGCAAGACATTATTACTGGGAAGATCCTTATTTGTTTAAATTTTGTGCAGATGACATAATCAGGAGATGTGTACCTGAAACAGAAATGAACAATATTTTAAGTCATTGCCATGATGGAGCTGTAGGAGGACACTACGGAGGAAGAACGACAGCAACTAAAGTACTTGAAGTTGGATTTTATTGGCCTACTTTATTCAAAGACGCAAGAAATTATATTGCCACTTGCGACAAATGCCAGAGAAGCAGTAACATTTCAAAAAGGGATGAGATGTCTCTTAACTCTATCCTTGTTTGTGAAATATTTGATGTTTGAGGCATTGATTTTATGGGTCCTTTTCCTCCTTCAAACGGTTGTGAATATATTTTAGTTGTTGTTGACTATATTTCAAAATGGGTAGAAGCAATTGCTACTAGAAAAAATGATGCTCATATTGTTTGTACTTTTCTCAAGAAAAATATTTTTTCTAGATTTGGAACTCCACGAGTTATCATAAGTGATCAAGGAACTCATTTTATAAATAGACAATTTGCTAGTTTATTGTCAAGATATGGAGTTACTCATAAAACAGTAACTCCATATCATGCTCAAACAAGCGGACAAGTAGAAGTATCCAATAGGGAATTAAAAAGAATTTTAGAAAAAATTGTTGGTTCTTCTCGAAAAGATTGGTTTTTAAAATTGGATGATGCGTTATGGGCGTACAGAACTGCTTATAAAACTCCCACAGGCGCATCTCCTCATAGACTAGTTTTTGGAAAAGCTTGTCATTTACCTATAGAGTTAGAACATAAAGCATATTGGGCTATAAAATTGTTGAATCTAAACTTACCAGATGCAGGTAAAAATCGTCTATTGCAACTTGATGAGTTGGAAGAGTTCAGACTTACAGCATACGAAAATGCTAAATTGTACAAGGAAAAGACAAAAAAGTGGCATGACAAGATCATCTGTCATAAAGATTTTAAAGTGGGAGATCATGTTCTGCTATACAATAGCGATTGAGATTATTCCCAGGAAAGTTTAAGTCACGCTGGACAGGGCCATATATAGTGACATGAGTGACCCCCTATGGTGCCATTGAAGTACAACATGCAGATGGGGGAGACAAATTCAAAGTAAACGGTCATCGTTTGAAGCCTTATATCAGCAGATTCTTCGACAAACAGGCTTCAACAATCCTTTTTGCCTAATTTTTAAAATAAGTCAAGCTGGCGACGTTAAACTCAGAACTATTTTTTTCCGCTCTCTTTAATCTCAAAAGTAAGTATTAGTAGTAACATATAATATTTTCTTTTTAGTAAATATATATAATAAAATTACCTTTTTTTTTCTTATAAAAAAAACAAAGTAAAAAAAATATATATTAAATACTTGACAAAACAAAGAACTCTCACAGTTACGTAGTAGTGTAGATATACTTTTGAAACAATTTAAATATTATAAAATAAAATAAAAAAGCAAAAAGAGGAGGGAATTGGTAACAATAAACGGTGATAAAGTAAAAAAAATGGGGTTTTAAGTGTTGTAACTCCTTTATCACATCAATGTAAGTGTTGACCCAGAACTTACAATACCTGCTCTTGTTATCTTCTCAATGTTGTCCATTTAATTACTATTTTACTTTGGGATTTTTACCTATCTATACCATATATCAAACCTTATTACTAAAAATGTTCATAATTTGTTATTTACCCGTGTAGTCCACATTTTTACTATAAATTATATACCAATCCAAAAACAGGTAGATTTTGCCATAAAAACGCGCTAAAATGAAGGCACCAGATCTGCGTGTGATTCTGTCAACATTAAATTCGAATTGTTGCGTAATTCTCTCCTTCCTCAATGGAAAGAGATCTCTCTTCTCTCACTCAACTACAATTCTCAAAAAACGCAAGCTACTGAAGCTCCAGTAATCAAACGGAAAGGAGATTTCTGTTCTTCATCTTCATCTTCATCTTCATCTTCATATATTTTCCCATATATTTTCCACCATTGATAGCCATTAAAAAGCTTGAAAGCTTTGAATTCAAATTTTGGGTTTTCAAAATTATTTTTTGTTTGGATTGGGTGTTGTTGTAAATAATTCGGAATATATTTAGGAGTTTGTATCTCAATTTTGAGGGGTTTTGGTGAAGATTAGACTTGGTTTTGACTGAATTTTAGATTAAAACTCGAAGAAGAAGAAGAAGAAGAAGAAGACGTATTTCCAGAAATCCTAGATAAATTGTAGTTAAATTGTAGAATTGTAGATATATTATAGATAAATTGTAGATGAATTGTAGATGAATTGTAGATTGGGAAGACTAAAGCTTCTACAAATCTTCTACAATTATGTCGAAAATGTCAATTATGCTACAATTGAAATGAGAATTTGGATATTAAAATTCAATATATCTATTTTGTAGATATCTTGTGGATAAATTGTATTCTGATTGTAGATGCATTATTTTCTGTTTTCACAAATCCAAAATGACTAAAGCTTCTACAAAATCTTCTGCAAAAAACAATCTACAATTTATCTATAATTTTTCTAATTTGACCACAAAATATCTACAAATTCTGGAAATATGTCTTCTTCTTCTTCTTCTTCTTCTTCTTCTTCTTCTTCTTCTTCTTCTTCTTCTTCTTCTTCTTCTTCTTCGAGTTTCAATCGACTGTGTTAACCAGTAACCTTCAACCACTGCCCCAAAAAAAAAGAGGTCAAAGAATTTCGAACTCTCTGCCATTATTATTTCCAGTGGGAATTCAAGCGGTTCGATCAAAGAATTTAAAATTTTCTTGTGAATTTGAAAATATGATATTCTTCGATGGTGGTGGGCAATTGGGGATGATCAAAGAGAGGAAGCATAGGAGCATCGTGAGTTGTGTGTGTGTTGTAAACAGTTGAGATGAAAGGAAAGAGAAAGTGGGAAGATACAGTCCTATAATTATGCCTAATATAAATGAACCCTTAATTATATCCCTAATTTGAATTATGGTATAGAAATGGTAATTTGGTATACTTAAATGTATTAAACACAAACCTTAAACATTGAGGGTAATAAGGTTTGATATATGGTATAAGTAGGTAAAAATCTTTTTTACTTTTACCTCAATCTCCAAGAAAACCACCTCTATCACCGGTCACATCTTTCATTAACTCCACAAATAAATATACACTATTATTCTATTATATATTTTACTTTTGAATATTATATATATATATATGTGTGTGTATATATTATATTAAAATAATATCAAACCATCCTTGTTAATATAGATTACACTGAGATTACCAAATAACATTTTTTTACATGGTTTACCTACTGTACATAGAAATTATAATATTATTGATATTTGAAATATAAATTTCTTAAAAAAAAGAGAATATCACAAAACCAGTCACACCTCCTCTGTCAAATCACACACAGTGATCGAGAAAATCAAGTTAGTGATAGCATATATTTTCACCTTTTGAACTCAATAAATACATTAAGACACCTACATCCTTGCTCATCTATCCCAAAAAAGAAAAAGAAAAAGAAAAGAAAGTAAAACCAAAAGACAAACATCTTTTTTCTCACCGTTATTTTCAATGTAAATTAGATTGCTTTTGTATTTACCTTTTCTTTCTCTGTTCATTCCTTTCATAAGAAAATTAAAAAAATCTTAGCCAAAAAAAAAGGTCCTCTTTTAAGAGAACTAAATCAGGAAATAGCTTGCAAGTCCATAAGAAAATGCAAGATCTTGATCCTATAGATTGGATTTTCTCAAAGAGTTTCAGGAAAGTGGTTGAGGAATGGGGGATGAAATTTTTACCTACAGATGGAGATAAGGCACTGGAGATACTGCAACAAATCAGTTCTTTGGATTAGGAATCATTTGTACAAGACCCAGGTACTTATGTTAAAGAAATAGTTCTGGAATTTTATGCTAATATGAACAAATCAGAAGGGACCACTACAGTTCAAAATAAAGTGATACCTTTTAACTCTTCAATTATAAATGATATGTACAATTTAAGAGACATTAATGATGAGGAAACCAGGTTAAAGATTGAAGGAAAGGATGAATTATTTTGAAAAAATCTGTTGTGAAATTATGTCCAAATGGGTTAAGTTAATTTCAGGAACTGAAGAATATCCTTCACAATTAGCAGGGTCAAGTATGAGAGAAATAGGAAGGACATGGGGAAGTTCGTAAGTTCTCGTTTATTCTCATATGTGAACAATTCAAATTATAATTTGAAAAGGGTCCTTTTGTTGTATGCTTTTAGAAAGAATTTGCCGATTAACGTTGGGCGGATGATTTTTGATGGAATGATGAATTGTCATTTTAGAGACGATTGTGAACACCTACATTTTTCATCGACAATCACACGTCTGACAAAAATATTTAAGGTAAATACGGAAGGTCTTGCTGAAATACGAAATGGTTATCTCATAGAACAGAGTTACTTGAATTCTTTAAAACCTCCGCGAGGTCCAGCAAAGCCAGAGAATTCGAATGCTAGTGCTTCTTCACATGATGTTATGACTTGTATGAAACAATTGCTACACGGACAAGCTGAAATGAAAAAACAATTGGACGATTACAAAAGTGAACAAAAAATCCGTGAAGAAAGGCTAGCGGCAAGTATGGCACATAATCAAAATGAATTAGCAGAAGCTAAAAGTTGTCAATCTTTCCTTTATCAGACGTTGCGAAATGAATTTGCAGCCACTTCCCCCATCGTCCATATGATTGGAATTTTCACGCGCCATGTTAACAATGCTGTGAAATGTTTTGACAATTCAAGTTTTCAGCATTATTCTTTTGCAGATCTAGAAAGTAGCAGTCTCCAAGGTGCGAGATTATTTCCAACTCCAGAGCTTTCAGTACCAATACCGCAAGCACCCCCGACTATGTTCGTTCCACAAAGAGTAAGTCCAGCTGATTTTATAGGTAAGGGACCCTCTATCCCTTTGTAACGCGATGGAATTAGACACTTCGAAGTTGATTTTGACTTTCTCAATAATAATGAAACAAGAAATGGTGGTCAGTAATGTTTACATTGTTCATCCAGGAGGATGAATAGTCCAAATGTAAGGATGGTTGAACTCTACTCAATCATTCCTTTGTTAAAAATTTTATGGTGTCTTTTTGTTGTCGATGTCATCCAGCAGGTATATCTTTTTGATAGCTATGGCAAACGGCTTGTAAATAGACGAACCTGTTGGTTCTTCTATGTGCTAGTAAGTTATTATTATCTTTATTTTATTTTGTTTTGTTTATTTGTTTGTTGTCAGGAGCTCATCAAGCAGGTAACATCTTTTGATAGCTATAAAAAATAGCTTGTATATAGTTTGACCTTTTAGTTGGAATGTGATAAAATGCCGAACCTGCGATGAAAGTGTCAATACATGTTATTTAGTATGTTTTCTACATTTTTTTTAAAAAATATATAGAAAAAAGCATAAAAAAAAGGAGAGGGGGGTGTTACTCATTTTATTGTCATTTTTGTTATCTTCTTTTTATAAAAACATATGTAAAAAAAAAATATTTTAAGGACTTTAAGGAATAAATTACACGTAAATGACTTTCGATCATATTCTGACAACATATCATGAATATTTCAAGTTCATAGAACACTGAAAACTTCTTACTTTATGCCTCCAGTTTTGCTGATGTAAATTGTCTGTTGCTGTGCAACTTTGAGTGATTGAAGAAAATAAAGGCATGCTTAAATTAATATAATCAATTACTAGAACTTGCCTCTATTGTTGGTCAATGCGAAATCTTAGAAAAATGCTGATTTCAGAAAAGGAATTAGGCTATCTTTGGATCGATTGAGCCTTTTGATTTATCCTACCAAATGAAAATTATCCTTAGTATCCCATTTTGAGCTTCAAATATCTTCTTGTTCATTTATACCTTATAACCCAAAGCCAATAAGTGCACATGTACATCTGATTTTAAAAAAAAAATCCATTCCTTTTCTTTACTGGCACTGTTGGCACTGTGGTATACGAGTTTGAGAGATA